AATTGACCATTGACCAAACATCGGCAGCAGCAAAAACGAGAAGGTGGAGCAGAACCATTGCACCAGGATGTGGGGGCGCAGGAGGAGCTCCAGGATGTGTGGGAGGTGTGTAAACTGAAGCACCGCACTGGACAGCGACATCATCTTTGGCACTGTCACGTCCACTTCGTGCACTATTCACGAGTCAAGCAGCCATCACGGAATAAACATGAAATTCCCTTGTTTTTCCGCAGACGGAAAAACGATTTAAGGAACAAACGAGGAAAACCTTAAGTACATTTCGATTAACGAGTTCAAGGTGTTCCATAAAAAAGGAAGTAATTAAAAAGGACATGACTTTTGTTAAAATTAAAAAAATCAACCGGTAAGTTTTTAGCAACTTTAATTATGGAAAGGAAGGAAATCCAAAATTCTTTAAAAATGTAACAAGCTATTTTAAAGCATACGTTCTTATAAATTCTAAGATAACAAAATGAATGCAAATTAATGTGTCCCAAAATAGACAAATTTAACACTAATATGAATTAACCATTAAATCTTTAGCAATCGTAATTAAAGAGAATCCAACTGCCTTTGATATTGATAGCGTTTACCGCAGAAAAATGTGAAATAGGCCATAATTGATACCCTATAAGCCAGCTGCCGTCAAGAGTTAGTAACTACCGCCTCATAATTAAGCAGAAATGTTCGCTCATCTCGCGGCCTCACTCGATTTACGCGATATTATTGCAGAATAATGAAATCGCCAGAGATTCCAATTCAATCTACGCGCCGCGTAGGCCATTTATGGATTGGCATTGATTTAATACCGCGTCGCAGAGATCGCCTCCAGGTTTTGTTCCCCCGAGTCCAAGGCGCAAGGCATTTTGCACCTACTTCGGGGCCCAAGACCAAGTCGCACTCGCGGCTCCAAAGTCCGAATCTGATCTGATTCCGCCGCCTATCGGACCTGGAGATCAGCGGCGGCAGACGCCACCTCGGCGGAGGCTGGATCAGCAGGATGGAGTCGTGAGGGGAGCTTCACAACACTCAGGAAAGTTTCATATCAGTTAAAAAGTATTTGAAAAAATATCCTTAATTTTATAAGGTTATAGATTTCAGTTCATTATAATATAACTTCTGCAAAAATATCCATTAGGTTGATCGACATTTTTGTCAAATAGTTTAAAAAACTATTTGTTAAACTTTAAAATTCTTAAAGCCAGAAATATTTGGATTTCAGAAAGATAAGTTTCCAAAATATTTTAAAATCTAGAGCGAAAACCAAGTTACTTTTTGAAACACGAAGTCCGGGTGTTTGTATTTGAAAGACTTTTGAAAGGCTTAAACTAAATATTCCTTCTGGATTTAATGGGACTTTTCAGTACAACAAAAATTATTTTCGGGCATAGATCGATCATAAAAAATATGTGATAGGCTGTGTACCGAAAGCTCACGTAAACAGACTCTACACGACTCGATTATCAGAATTTTTTCTAAATGCACCTCTCCAATGTTTATTCAATAAACCCGATCTGAGATGCGGCACCAGGAGGAGAAGCTGCAGAACAGCAGCTGGCTGGCATTCCTCTGAGGAGCGACCGTTCTGCAGTGGGCCCATTCAAGACAAGCCGCTGGAATTTCTTGGTGCGTGCTTGGCACAGGCATAGGCACAGGTTGGGATTCAGCTGGTCGCCTTGGTATCAAGCTGGAGCTTTGGCGTCTGCCAGCTGCGTCTCCTGATTATGATAATGGCAGCCGGACTGGACCGGATCGGGTTGGACCGGGAACCCCATTGCACCACCAGGCCAGTTCGCTGGCCAGTTGTGCGCAATTGCTTTCGTTTATGATCGAATGATCGAATGCCTGGCAGCTCCGTTGACTTTCTGATTAATGCAAGAATGCTCCTTGGCGGCGTTCCTTCTTTTTTCCCGATCCCACCACCACCGACTGCAATTAAAAGTGGATACCCCTCACTGAAAGGGTCTTTAAATCAGTGGCTAACACAGGACCGCTTAAGATAAGGTCGGAGAATTTAATTTCCGGAGGCAAAAAAAGGGTTCAACATTATCCCCTCAGTAATCATAAATAACTAGTTGTTTTCCTCCGAACAAATTCAGTATTCTTCAGAATAATGTTTTACTATTTAAAGCTTAAATTCGAACAACAAAAAATTTAAGATTTAGAAGCACATATAAAAACAACAATCAGAATAATGTTTTACTATTTAAAGCTTAAATTCGAACAACAAAAAATTTAAGATTTAGAAGCACATATAAAAACAAGAAAGGAAAGCTAACTTCGGGCGGAGCCGAAGTTGATATACCCTTGCAGAATACTCTGTAAATTATATTCTCCAAAATTATTCATATTATGCGTTCTTAATACACATAAAAAATCCCAACTTCCTAACTTTAAAAACACCAACGTTATAGCATTTCCAATCGTTCAGTTATATGGCAGCTATAAGATATAGTCGACCGATCCTTATGAACTTTGGTAGGTCGGATTGATTGGCCAAAAATAAAACCCATAGAAAATCCCAACTTCCTAACTTTACAAACACCAAAGTTATGGCATTTCCGATCAATCAGTTATATGGCAGCTATAAGATATAGTCGGCCGATCCTTATGAAATTTGGTAGGTCGGATTGATTGGCCAAATATAAAACCCATAGAAAATTCCAACTTCCTAACTTTACAAACACCAAAGTTATGGCATTTCCGATCAACCAGTTATATGGCAACTATAAGATATAGTCGGCCGATCCTTATGAAATTTGGTAGGTCGGATTGATTGGCCAAATATAAAACCCATAGAAAATTCCAACTTCCTAACTTTACAAACACCAAAGTTATGGCATTTCCGATCAATCAGTTATATGGCAGCTATAGGATATAGTCGGCCAATCCCGGCCGTTCCGACATATATACTGCGTGCAAAGGAAAGAAGGGTGTGTGCAAAGTTTGAACTCGATAGCTTTAAAACTGAGAGACTAGTTTGCGTAGAAACAGACAGACGGACAGACGGACAGACGGACATGGCTATATCAACTCAGGAGGTGATCCTGATCAAGAATATATATACTTTATAGGGTCGGAGATGTCTCCTTCACTGCGTTGCACACTTTTGACCAAAATTATAATACCCTCTGCAAGGGTATGAATATAAAAGATCAATAATAATTCACTTGCAAGCTTATTGTCAGGGAAAACATAAAGTTATATTAGTGATATAAAAATACTACATATTTAACCTCAAAGCTTAGCCTAATTATTTTATGTAATTGAAAAACGCCTCCTCTATAATGTAAAACCCCTTAAAAATTTCCTTCAGTCATAATAAATAAACTTCAACTTAGCAGCCAAGTTGACTGCAGATAAGAGCATACCCAGTTCGTTTTTGGCCCTGGACACACAGATTGATTCTTGACCGGCTGCCGTCGCCTGCTGTGCCTGATGTTTGGATGCCTGATGCGTGGTCCAAAGCCAGAGAAGCCGAGCCCGGCCAGATGCAGTCCGATCCGAGGAAGACAAACGACAGTCGCCAGCCAGCCTCGTGCCTCCAGTTGTCATAACGTTCAACACATCGCGCCCCTCGGTGGCGTCTTGCGTCTTGGCCACGTCCTCGCCCCCAGCCGCAGCCACGTCCACATCCCCGAGCTCTGTGCGCTGCCATAAAAGGATTTGTCACGTGCGAGCTTTTGTTGAAAATGCAACAATCATCAGACTGCATTATGCATGGCGCATTGCCAGGTCGGACATCGTTTCTCGGCATTCCTGACGATCCCTCCAATACTCCACTGCCACCAAGTCCTGGTCCAGCAGATCATTGAAATTTATAATTAAGTGGAAATATGTTGTCTACGATAACAACAAGGATCTCAGATTGCTGCCGGAGATATGAATTCCTCACAAAGTGGCGGGGGCGGGGGGAGAAACGGAGCCCTCAATTGGAATAACAAATGCATTAGCAGGCCAAACAAGGACCTAATAATGTCCTCGTCGAGGGAATGTGAATGGAAATCCATTGTGCAAAGAATGGGTTTGGTCTCATCCACAATTACCGTTAGGCACACACACATCCAGACACAAACAAAGTGGGGCAAATAAGGACATACCAGCCTGGCTAATTCATGACTTTAAGGACACTTTGGCAAACAATCGAACGGCCAAGGCGAAGGAATATTCACTTTGGAATTGATTATGCATGAGTGTTTTGTCGCGTGCGGTCTGTGTGCGTGCCAATCAACTGGGGAGAATCAATCAAAATGCAATAGGATTGCCAATCAAAGGCAAAACCGAGAAAAGAGCCTTCCCTCGTGCACAGAAGTCACTTGTCCCGCAGGAGCAGCTGCATCAGAGCTTAAATCCAATGCAGACAGATTCTGGGCAGTACTTTCGGACCACATCAGGGCAAATAGCCAGCCCCAGGTAAGCAGGACAAACAATCAAATGTCCAGCGAAGCGTTGCGAAAGGACCGAAGGAGCAAAGGTGTACATTGAAAAAAATTATTTATTTCAAGACCTTCGAGTGTTAAATTGAAATGCCTATGATTTGGTTTTCTGCACTGATTTGGAATACAAATTATAAAGTTTAAAGCAAAATATGTAATGGGTATAAAATGAATAACTAATATACCTTTTTTTTAGAAACAACCGACGGGTTTTCAATGGATGTTTCTTGCAAAGCATATAACAATTTGAGGACAATATGGAACTACTAAAAAATTACTATATTTTATGCACCGTGTATCCGTAAGCGTTGCATTTATTTGCCAAGGCCCACTTTTTGCATTTGCCAAACAAGAGTGCGGCCAGGACGAAGCCTTGTCCTCCGTTTGTTTGAACACGAGCCTACACTTTGGTCGTCGTCCTGGCCGAGTACTTTGCACCTGTGTTTGCACTTAAATCGAGTTTGCCGTTGATGAGCAGCTCGGGACAAACACACGCACGGTTACTTGGGTTCTTGGGTAGTATGGTAACTTGGCCAGTGGCCATTGTAATTGCGGCGCACTCACCACATTCACAAAGTCCTGGAACGTCACGTAGCCGGGTCCTGTTGGCAGTTTCGCCTTCTTGGCTCGCTCCAGCAGCAGTTCCCGCTTGTTCATAGGTACTTGGGACAGGAACTCCGGCGACCTCAAGGCCACCAGAAATTCCTCGACGGATATTTCGCCAAAACCTTCGGGATCAAACTGCAAAAGAGGATAAATAAATAAAATCACTATTATAGTCCCAAATTTGGGGGGGGGAATGTTTTGGCTTACTTACCATATCAAAGAGAAGTTTCCATTTCTGTAAATAAAGTTAAAAAATGTGTATATATTTGTAGTAGTTGAAAACTTTAGAAACTTGCAAGATCTATTAAAGCCAATCGGTTGAAAAACATAAATGGCTTAAGTTGTATAGAATGTGCATAGGAACATAGTAGTGAATTGAGTTTTAAATATTTCCTCTTGGAACTTACATCTCTCAATAACTCCCGTCGTAGTTCGGACTCATCAAAGTCCGAGTTTAGGGATGTGTGTTCCGTATCATAGCCGGCATCATTGGTACATTGCTAGAAATAGATATCTTTATAGATCTGATCCCAAAACACTTTCAAAGAACTTACATATCGCATTTGGGTGTGCGAAATAGATCCTATGGAGGCCAAAGAACCGGCGATTGTGGATATGTGTTCAATATCGGCCAGCGTCTCCTGCTGACTACTACCGCCGGCATTTTGCTGACTGGTTGGGTTTTCCAGCGCCCGGGAGCTTCCTCGCTCGGAGCCGGGCCACATCCTGCTGTTCCTGGCTATCCAGGTTTGTTCGTGGGATCAAGGGGTAAATTCGTAGATCTCTTCTGGAATGTTACTGGCAGTGATTGTAGCGATTAAAGTTCAGCTGTTGATAAATATAATTTTATTTAGTGTTTTTATTTCGATACTTTGATTTCGTAGAAAAATCATATAAAAAAAGTTATTTTATTTTTGTTATTTAAAGACACTATAATCATTTTAAAATTTTTGGAATCTGTATCCCCCCTTTGGAGCCACTGTGCAGAGCTTTTTGTGCACTTCTCCCCAAAAGCTCTTGTCAATGAAATGAAACTTTGGCGCCGGAACTTCCACCACCGGTTTGGTCGAATGCGTTGAGTTGTCGTTTTCTCGCGTGATTCAAGTGAATTTTCTTTCGGCGGTTCGAATACGCCTGAGGGTAAATCTCTCAAAATGAATAATATTTATAGAATATTTTCCCTATTTATGGGCCTGTGAAAACAATTTGTTACAATTTGTCGTGTTTGGAATTGTTGCACTACTTTGCGGGCCCAGAGAACATAATGCCGGTTAATCATAGGCTAAAAACTGGTAATCAATACCCATGTCTATTTCATGCCCGGCAAACAGATTTCTTTTTATTTTAAGATTCACTGCCCTTTGTTTTGATTGCCAAGGCAACCGTTTGTTGTCGTTTTCCCCTATTTCCTTGTTGATAAGGAGGTTATTGATCCTTCAGCTAGTTGAAGGGAAACTGCGCAGAATCCAACTGGCAAACAATTGTTTTGCATTTTGTTTACGCCTCGTCAATTACCGGAACGATTTTGTTTTGATTTTGTTGAATTAAACTAGGCAATTGGCATTGATTGAATGGTTTTGTTAGAGAGAATGAATGAATTTGGCTTTCTTTTCTTTCCAAAGAAATTGACTTTTGTTAATTGCTCCCCAGGGGGAGCGTTCTCTGTTGTTTAGATGACTTTATTCTTTGATAAAACTTCTCTTAATGGATTTCAGTTATATTTTTTATTTATTCTATTTATTTACCGATTTGTTTGCACCCAGAAATATAAAAATATTGCACATTCACATCCAGGCAACAACAAACAAGCGAACTTTCCACCGGCAAAACGACAACTGACAAAAGAGAAAGCCAAATTGGCCGAGAGAGCGAAGAGAATGTGAGAGCAGGTGAAGTGGAACATGCAAGGGTTGCTAATATTCTCTGGGGGATGCAGGATTCCCACGGCACATGCGCTGCGCTTGGAAAGCATTTCCAACCCGTTGGCATTTCCGCCTTGCCGCTGCGCCCACCCACACTAGCCCTTTAGGGGGAAATGACGCAATTCCAGAGCTCGATACTCACACCTAACGTTTACAAAGATGCAGCTTTATTGAAATTTACATATACCACGTACAAATGAAGAAGGAGAACCTCTCCCTGCCGCACTCCACACTCTGCTACAAAGTAGGGTGATCCGTTAATAATTACAGGAGAACTTTCCTTTGTCGAAACTTTTTAAATAAACTTTTACTAAAAAAGATAAAATGTAAACTTTACGAACATTTTTGTTAATTTTCGACCATGGGTCAAGACACCTGATTAAGTAAATGTAGGCTTAATTATTTTTTTTAATTAAGTTAAATTACAAAAAAAATCGTTTGAAAACTAAAAACAAAAGGATTGACTTTAAAGTTGTATTTTAATTGAACATAATGGTTTATAATAATGCAAAGGAAAGTTCAACTGTAAACCTAAAAGTTGACATCAGAGGGGAAATGGGGAGATTCCCTGGGTGATTTTGGGTAATATTGGGTGGTAAAAGAAGTGTAAGACACAGGCGTGATGATGCTTACGAATCAAATTATATATATACGTAAAGTAAGAAAACTAATGGATAACATACAATGTTATAAATATAATTAATGCAAGCTCAGAACTTTTAAAACTGTTATTTGCAATTATTTACAGTCGCTTATGGTCTATTCTAGGTGTCTAGATTATATAGCTATATTATATATAGAACGATCCTCCAGAACTTGGAGCGTTTAAGGTGAATGATGCGAAAGCATAAGGGAAGTGGGAGCGGCATCGATAAATGAACACAAATCTAGGAACAGATCGCGAAGTTAAATTCAATACATTCATCTACATATCTAGAGAAAGAACTATTGATCCAGGGGAATTCAATTCTTAAGGATTTATTTAATCTCCAACTGCCTTGCTTCTACAATCAGTATCCTCCTCTTTCCGGATTTAACAATATTTACACTTCTGACGGCCTAATAAGATTGCTGGCTTACAACATGTGATACATCATAAAATCATATACATATATAATCTAGTAATTATGTAATTATAGAATATTTTTGTTTGCTTTTCCCTTTTAGGTTTTAGTTGCTTAATTATCGCGTAGCTTAAACTTGCATTTATCTGTTGCTCTCGCAATAAACATAAAAGTCAAGAAATAATCTCTTGAACAATATAACACTTGCCTTAAAACGGGGAACAGAGGAAGCAGAAAAAAACATTACAACAAACTCGAATGCTTAACCTAGGCTTTATCCTACACATCCACTTAGCCCTCGACCATGCGATCTGATCCGGAGTCACATTGCTCTATAACCAAACGGGCAATGCGCTTGATCTCGCAGTACGGACTCTCGTGCTCGATCAACTCGTTTAGGATCTGGATGCCGTTCTCCTGCTCCACCAGCTGGCAATATTTCTCGGGATAAACCTGTGCGGATGTGCAAGTAAATTAGTTGATAAGATAATAAAGGGGAACATTATGCACCCACCTGCGTTAGATTTGCCAGGGCCCACACCGCCCAGTGTTGGCATTGGGGCGTCTCATAGCATCGCACCAGACTCAGGATCGGCTCAAAGCTGCGGTAGTTGATGTTCCGCTCGCTCTTAATGTTCCACCGCTGGATGGCGGCCACCATTCGCTCGAGGACATGCTCTCGACTGGGTGTCTTAATGGTCCAGGCATCGGCTCCATCAGAGGCAATGTGCGCCAGGACTCCAGCCGCATTGTAGCTGACCTGGAAGCGCAGGTTACCATGGTTAGCACTGCCCATCTCTCTCTCCCGTACTCTCGCCAACAAACTCCCACTAGCACCACCCACCTCGATGCCATCACTCAATGAGTCCAGCAGGCGGGCGAACACCTCAATAAACTCCTGGGTCATCAGTTTGGGTCGCAGCCACTTCACCTCAGCTACGTTGCCCAGAAGACCCATCATGTTTCGCAGCAGTTCGTCGCGATCCGGGAAGGTCTGTTATAAAAAGATTGCTTAGTTTAAATGGTTTGCATGCAAAAAGTTTAACTAATTGTTCATATAACCAGGGATTTTACATAGTTTTGCTTCCTGATATCAGGTCTTGAAAATCCTGCTAATTTGACATATATGTAGACAAATTATATTGTTAATCATTTTGATATCCTCCGTATTGTATCCGTACTAAGTCCGTTATAACCAATATTATATATAATTTAAACTTACATGTAAACACTTGAGGAAATACTCCATTCCGCGACCATCGAGGAATCTCTTACAATTAATAGCAGTCTCATCGGTTACATTCCACATGGTGGACCAGGACACCTCCATCACATCGTCGAAAACGGAGCGAGTCAGGCGATCCTTGATCAGTGTCAGCATAGTCTATAATAAAGCGATTAAGTTAATATAAATACCTATTTTTATTAAAAATGATGCAAACATACACTAACAACTCCCAACTCTCCCAAGAACAGCTTTTGTCTTCCATCCACCTGGCAAGCGAGTGTGTTCAGCAAATAGATGGCTATGCGCTGGACAAAACCCTCTTGTTCCGTCTTGGAAACGCCGTGCAGCAAGATCTTGATGAGACGTTCATACTCGAAGAGCTGTTAAGGCACATATTAGGGAGATGCAATGATCATCATGGTAATCCAAGCTTACCACATCGAAGGGCATGTGAAACTGGGTGAGCGTGAGGTAACCATTGCGGAGCATGGTATCGTCTGTGAGGTGCATCTCCATGCCGTTAAGCAACGTTCGAATTATGTGATTGCGCAGCAGTGTTCCAAACTTGGAGCGATCTCTGCCCTTTACTATGTAAAATAGTGTAGCACTAAACAATAAAAAATATAAATTTAAAGAGGTATTTTTTAAATTGGAATGCTATACCGACCTGCCGGAGATTTGCATATGCTTAAACTTGAGATGCCGATCCATGGCGGAGAGCACAACATCCAGTGCTGTGTGTATATCCTTGCAGTTCTCGAAACGGAATAGATGGTAAAGATCGTTGAGAACCTATAATGGAAAAATATATAAAACTGAGTTTGTACAAATCCATCACAAGACTCACCCTTGTCAAAAGCACTGGTCTGTCGTGATAATACCGAGCTGCGGTGAGGATCTGCTGCTCGTTAGCATCGCCAGCCACCTCCAGAGCTGGAATATCGTGTCTTTTGCAGGCCCAGTGGGCCGTATGATAAAGTCCGAGGAACTGCAGCGGTCGCTGAGTTCGCGATGCCAGTCCAGGGATGTCGGTAAGGGAAAAGTGCTGTTCCATCTTGGTGCTGGGCTGTGTGGCATTGGAACTCGTCGACTCTTTGGTGGCCACTCCGTTGCCCGCCAAATTCGTGCCCGAGATATCCAAATGTGTGAGATGCCGCAGGTTGTCCATTAGCATCTCTAGCGTTTGATCAGGCAGATCGTAGGTGCCATGACCATTCCCGGAGCTGGAGATGGATATGTCCAATGTACATAGACGCCTTAAACAGCAAATAGCATGCAGCTGATTGGCGATGGGCCACACATTGAATAGAATAAGAGTGTGCAGATTGGGCAGCGATCCCAATGCCTCCAGACTGAAGTTGGCCAGCACGCAGGAGGTCAAGTCCAGATGTCCCAAATCGTGCAGGTGGGCGAACTGTAGACGATGGTGCATCACCACACCATTGAGCACTAATCGCCGCAGGTGGGGACAGGTGAGTTGAAAGTCCACCGGTTCCTTCTCGTTGGGTTCTGCGTACTGCAACAGATGGGAGCTGATTCCCAGTTCCAGGGAACGCAGGCTGTCGCCGTAGTGGGCCAGCAGATGGTGAGACCCCACGGTTATCATGTCGCAAT